TGGCATTTCAGGATCTTAGACACAACACACGGCTTATAGGAGGTGCAGCTATTGATTGTGGGAGACTTTACACAAACCCTTCCAGTGATTCCAAAAGGGTCAAGAGCTGATGTGGTCAACACTCATATAAAATCTTCTTACCTGTTGAGCAGTGTAAAAAAGGTGAGCCTCATACTTAACATGAGAGTGCAGTTCAGTGGTGATGAGGAAGCTGGTACTTTTTCTATGTAACTACACTGCATGCCAAATTATTATCGAGATAACTTTTATCTAATATGGCGCCAGTTTGATTACATTGTGCAGATCAGTAAGAAAATTTCAGTGATTACGCAGGTCAGTATTGCCAACATTGTGTGAAAATTTTGTGTGAATTGATTGGACGGTTTTTGAAATATTAGAAAAAAGTTATCTCGATAATAATTTGGCACGCAGTGTATATGATGTTTGTAATCGCACTTTGGTTGACAATCAGGATAGAAGGATCAAATTTTGTCTTTTAGACATATGGTACCTGATTTAAAGGAACTAATGACTAGGGTCTTTCTTAATCTGAGGCATCAGTTCAAAGACTACAACTGGCTGGGAACCTGTGCCATTTTAGCTCCAAAGAATGTGGCAGTGATGATTTGGACATCAAACTTCTGGAACAGTTGCCAGGTGAGTGTTTCAGCTACCATTCCATTGATGCTGTACTAAACACTAATGAAGCTATAAATTATCCAGTTGAATCTTTGAATAGCTTAACACCAGCAGGCCTCCCACCTCACAATTTTCACCTCAAGATTGGAGCGCCAGTGATGCTGCTAAGAAACCTGGATCCACTGAAGATTTACAAAGGCACACGACTTATAATTAAGAAGATGATGCCAACAGTCTTGGAGATGACAATTCTAACTGGCAAAGCAAGTGGTGAGACTGTATGCATTCCTAAAATTCCACTTATTCCTTCGGATATTCCTTTCCAGTTCAAGCAGTCGCAATTCCTGATGACAAAGTGTTTTGCAATCAGCATTAACAAATTTCAGGGGCAGTCCTTGGATGTGGTAGACCTTAACCTTGCAGAACTGGTTTCCTCTTATAGCCAACTTTATGTAGGATGTTCAAGAGTTGACAATCCCAATCATTTGTTTATTTATATCCCACATGGAAAAACCAAAAATTTTGTTTATCAAGAGACTCTGCAAATTTGATAAGAAGCACCCAATCACAATCTGTTTATGACTTAACTGTACTATTTGTCAGTGTTGTAAATCTTTTGCTAATCTATGTTATTATATTTGTAAATCTATATATAAATCCATTTGCAGGTCTATTGTGAAACTGTATGTTAATCTATTTGTACATCTAATGTAAATTTAGATTAACATTAGCTCTTCTAAGGTTTGGTTTGGTTTTTGTTTTACAGCATATCAACCTCAATGAGTTATTTAATGCTGACAAACTTTTTATTGCTGGTAACATATTTTTCTTCAAAAATCTATTTCTGAGAATATTTTTCCTTGGAGAAATCGAAAGCTGGTCATATTTTTTTCAAAGAATGTATAACTTTTTGTATTGCTTGTATTTTTTTTTTTAAAGCATTGCTGATAATAATTTTTCCTTCACAAATTATTGCTGGTAATAATTTTTTTTATTACAAAGTATTTCTGGTATTAAAACAAGTTTGTGTATTAACTATTTGCCCATAGTTGGGACCCTAACAGGTGCTACCACCCCGGGTCAGGGTGGACTTGGGAACACCAGCAATTAAGAGGTGGTTCCACACTCCTGAAAACCTCCTGATCAGAGGTCTTGCTGTTGGATGTAGTTTATCATCTTACGCAGGACGTGGATGTAATTTATTGTCATACCCAGGATGATAGTCCTCGTAAGGGTTATATTCTATGTGAATGCACAAAAGTCCTTTTCAGGGTTACATATTTTATATTGTTATTTTTGGATAACCAATTTGCCTGTTATTACATAAGTCACTTTATGATTTTGGTATTCAGAACTTATTGGCATTTCCTCCAAAAATCCTAAGGGCAGCGGTTCGGTATTCTATGTGAAAGCAAAAAGAACCTTTTCAGCGCTAATTACTTTGAATTGTTACTTTCGGATAACTGAATTCGAGTTGCTAGGTACATTCTGTTTTTGTTTTTATTAGTTACTTTGTTCATTTAATTTCATTTTCGTATTTTGCTTTGATAAAGTCCACATTGGACGAAATGCGTCAGCAATTACCAGTTTTCCTATTGTCATTTTTATTCATATATATATATATATATATATATATATATATATATATATGTCATTTGCAGACAGTACTGTTTCACTATATCAAGGCTCCTCAGTGTGACTAGACATCTGAATGCCTCAAGCCAGGATTGAAACCCAACCGATTTGGTGTCAGTCAGAGTTTCTACCACAAAGCTATCATCACTTGGCAGAGAGAAACAGCTAATTCTAGTGTATTGTTTTTATGAATGTAAACAAATACCAATCAGTCATAGTGCTCCAATTCATTTTACTGAAGAGCTTTGCATTAACGCAGGTGGCTGTTGTTTATAAAATCAGCTTATCTCTCAACAGTGCTAAATTGAAATATATTTTTCAAGAGCTAAATTATATATATATATGTGCATGCACACATATACATAACCTCTGCTCAACTATTATAACAGTAAAGTATAAATATCAATATTTAAATGTTACAATGGTCAGTTTTCAATCCACACCTGATGATTGTATTGTGCATGAGTTGTACGACAAGTGCAGAAAAAAAATTGTATATTTATTTTTAGTATAAATTATTATTATGACCAGCACATAATAGGCATTATATATATATATATATATATATATATATATATATATATATATATATATATATACAAGAATAGATTTATTAATCCTACATAATTCATTGCTTAAATGTTATTTTTTTTTATGAATACCCATATTTGAGTAGATGCTGTGTTTTTATTTAGTTATCAAACAGTATATTTACTTATTTCTATCTACTGGCATTGAATATTCAAAAATCATATCTCTGAGTTGACAAGGCTTACAAGGAAGTTTTGTGGGTTGAAATAGCTATCCCAATGAGGTAACTTTGGATTTTTATCCTATGTAAGTTATATGCTCTATTATAATACATAGAGCTCTTTTTGTAGATCAGTTTTAATATTTTATATTATTAGGATACACTTGGATTATTTACCAATTGATTATTACCTGCATGTATGTATGTGTATATATATATATATATATATATATATATAAAAACTTTAGATGTTATTTTAGTGGATACTCATATTTGAGTAGATGCTCAGTTTATTGTTTAAACAGTATATTCTTTTTTATTTTCATCTACCGTCCACGCATCTTTTTCTCTAATATGATTTCTCAAATATTCAAGCTGGTAGACAAAAATAAATAAATAAATATACTGCTTAATAAATAAATGGAGTGTCTATTTAAATATGAGTATACACTAAAAATAACGTTTAAAGTGTATAAAAATTTGTCTGGTTGATAAATAAAAATCTATTAATTTAGAAAAAAAAAAACATATATATAGATCAATCATTTTATTTATTCCTGGTCATTTATTGTTCTCTTAATTAATGTTTTTTCTCATATTCCCTCCCACTCAGTAACCTATGTGTCTTGGTGGCTTTATTGCCTTGCTTGCAGAAATTCCAACATGTACAAAATCATTGACTCTCATAATAACTACACTCTAAGCAAATTCTATGGTATCAACAATAAACCTGGTATAGATCCTCCCTATAATTGTAGAAATAGTGAACATTGTCCAGCCGATGGAAAATGTAGAGCTTTAATATTTGTTTTAGAAAAAATGTATATAGTGTGGGGGGGGGCAGCACCTGTTCGGGTCCCAGCTTTGGGCAAATAGTGAACCCCCAAACAAAAACAAAAGACTATGAATGTATAGAAATACATTTTTATATTAAAAAAATTACCAATTTACCTATTTATAGTAAAATTTCCAACAATACATTTTTAAACCAGAATTACTAACAATGCATTTTATAGCAAAATGACCAACAATAGATTTTATCTGTAGTTGAAGGCATACAATTGTGTTCAAAACATATTTCATTGAAGCCATAAAATTGTGTTCAAAATATTTAGATTTTGGTATTAAATAACCCATAGAGGTGTTGATATGCTACTAAACAAAATCAACCAACCATGTATGGAATATCAAAAAAAACATCTATCATCCATATCGAAGTCTTGACACCTACAGTAAATTAGCCTGAATATCTTAAAATGACATCAGTTTTGAGAAAATAAAGATGACGTAACTGAACACAACATGAGAGAAGTGAGCAAATGTGTATTTATAGCTTGACTGACAAAATGTGTGGTCAGGATTTTATTCGTAGGATTTTAGATAAAAGTTTACATTGTACATACAAAGGAAAAAATTATCAAGTCAATATCACAATTTTCCAGTCTAGTTTATTTTGATCTTGATAAATTAATTATTTTTATTAGCCATTTTGAATTATTCGGTTGATACGACAGTTTTTAACTGTTTCAGTCTTCAGACTTTTTATACGTAACTCTGAAATAGATTATGTGCAATTAGAAAATTAAAAATAAAATTTGATATACTCATAAAAACAACATTTATTAGTCAAGGACATATATCCATTGTTTTTAAAAACTGTCTCCTATTGTTCTATAACCTTATTGATGACATTGTGATATATACTTTTTTTTGTTGGATTTATTGATTAACTCATTTTCTAAAGCTTTGCAGGTTATTAAAGGCAGAAAATATTTTTAGTTTGTAAGAATATTTTTGTAAATAATAATGATTTAGTGATACAAGTTTTACTAATTAATCCATAGCTAGGGGAGAAGAAGTGGACTCAAGGTTATTTGCATTTAACTGAATATAATGAACCCAACTGGAATTGGAACTCGGTTCTCTGATTAACAATTCTGAGCCATTATCCATTAAACCACTCAAACATCCAACC